AGCTGAACTCATGGCCAAAAGCTTCACAGGGAAAGGAATGAATCTTAATCTGGAATATTTTTATCAGTTTTGTCTTCTGCTAATATGTAGTAAAGTGAAGAGCACGATGCTTTGTAAAGAATGACAAAAGATAGGTTTATGTTTCTTTGGATGCAAAGAATAAGGCAAATTTCCCCTCAGTTTCTTTCCATTTCATCATCTAAGACTGCACTTTATGCATACTGAAGGAGTTTATATTCAAAGTAGAAATAGCCCAGTCATATTGTGTTTTGCAGAAGCATGATGTAATATAAGTTTTCACCACTGATTTGACACCATTTTAAGCTGCCATTTATGTGTCCTTGTGAAAGAAAGGCTAGATACTTGAGGTGAAATAAGGATAACATTGGTAGACAGACAGACAGAAACTTCATTTCGGTCATTGACCAATAACATTGGTATGTATCTTGACATTCAGAAATTAGTGTTTATGACTTGTTAATATTTTACATAAATAGCAAGAAAAGTATGGAAGTCTTTGCACATTCATCATTGTTTGACCGTTTGTTTTCATATTCAATATGCTAATTCTCTTAGCAAATTAATTAGGGCAACAAACAACTAGTTTAGGCACTGGATCGTTTAACCCAAGTTTATTTTCATTTTTTATACTAATGTTAAATGGAAGAAGATTTCTTAATAGTGGGTCTATTTTTTATGGTAACCATGGGCTGCGAAAATACAGAAGATGACAACAGAGTTAAGTTCTATATGTTTTTGCTACCATACAGGAGTTGTCTGGATTTTTGCAATCCAGATAAAGTAGTCCTACTATTTTTAAAAGAAGAAAAACATATTTTAGTCTCTGGCTATAATTAAGATATTTTGAGTTTTTGTTTAGGGCCAGGCTACATGCTGTGTTATACATATAACATACAAGTGTCTTTTTAAAAATAACTTAGATTGGTCTAACAGCGTATATCTGAGCTTGATCTGGGTTGAGACCACACATGCAGTTTATGGACATTTGAGATGTTATTCCTTTATGTGAAAGAGGGGGAAAATAATCAAAGGATCATCTGCATTCTACATATATAACATACGTGATTCAGTGACTTAATTATTTGGTACGTTCACTTGTATGTGCGTACTGTTTTTATATGCAGTAAAGTAAATACAGCTTGTGCATTAAATAAGCATAAATAGAAGCATTATTTTGAGGGTTGCTTGTGATAATTCCAAACAGAAATATACATGATGTAATATGTGGACTATTCTACCTTGGCTTAAGTAGCAAAGACTTGTGCCTGCAAGTATATGGCTAAACTTCCAGAAGTAAAGCTACCCCTGCAAGGACCCACTTGGCCGGCTTTTCTTTAGTTTTTAAATTAAAAGTCCATATGTAGGTGGGCCCTCTAACTTTAGTTTTATAAACTGGACATTTGTAAATATGCTTGGTTTCTTGCTTCTCTACTGGAACTGCTCTTGCAAAGATGACTGGCAGCATTGGAGTCAAGTCCTTCAGTCGAGCTTCAGCTACAACTCCTGCTTGAGTGTCCCATCTTGCTCCTGCAACCACAGAAATACACATCTTAACTTGCAGGGCAGAAGTGTGCAGCTAGCCAAGTAGAATATCAGTCACAATTTGTGTGCTTCTTCATATGCCTGAAATCCTATTGATACTAAATTCTGTTTTCTTTTTAAAAATAATGGGGCTTCCTTTTGAAAAGATACTGTAGGAATAAATTGTATTATAAATGCACTGTAATGTTTTATATACTGTGACAAAATTTGAATCTTAGCTTCTTATTATGAAAGGAGAAAACAATGTTAAGTCTAGTATTTAAAGTATCTACTGTCTTTTGACAAGAACTATCTAGTACTTTTGAGACATGGGGAGGATGTACCAGACTGTTGATTAAGGTTATAATCCTGGTTATTTTGGAGAGGATATAGCTAGTATCTTAGTAATACAGTATATACATTTCAAAATTTGAACAGCAAATAGACAATATACTTTGATCTTTTGCTGTGTTGTGCTTCATGTTGACTTCACAGCATTGTTAAAATAATAAGGAATACTGAATTTTTTGAAATAGAAAACTTGCTACATTTGTCATTGATCCAATAAAAGTATACTTCTATTTGCTATGTCTGATACTGATCATTTTTCCATGGCTGGATGCTTTAACTAAGTCATCGCAATTATAGAATTTCAATAAACTTACCTTCCATATAAAGCCCAAAAATATATGCACCTTCCCTTGGTGGATGACCATAATCTTCTCTACTCTTTTTGGTGACATCGGTAGTCAGACACATCTTATCCAGAGACCAGTTGTTTTTCCGTGCCGTAGTTTGCATAATGGCTTTCAAGAATACATGGTTGGTAGAAATTATTATTTTAAGGGCTGCATACTAATTACTATAGATAAGGTAGTATAACTATAGGAAACAACAGGAACGTTATTCTAGAGGAAAAATTTGATCCAACTTTCTAGAAGTAAATCTAGATTCATCTAATCAGGTAGATTGCTAGCTCGGTCCTGGATGATAAAAAAGATTTGGTAATTGCAATAAACATTAATTTCATACAATTTATGGTATTTCTTAAAAATATAAGTCATGCTTGTCTTGGCACTGAAGAGCATTTTCTAGAAACTATTCCAAACCAATTTATCTTTAATAGTGAAGCAGCTTCTGATACAGGTTATTCACTGCTCCCCGTTTATTCTAAAAATCTTGTTGATTCTATAGATGCAGTTTCTATGACACCTAAGCCATAATATAGTTTAGCAGCAAATGTCAGTACCCATGCCTTACTTGTACCTATGTGGCTTTTCATACATTATTGGAAATCACACTCCTTTCTACTCATAGAAAAAATAATCTGGGTACAAGTACGTTCAGCATGTCATGCATCCAGTGTGTCTTATATCGTCTATCAGTGTTTGATTTCCGCCACCTTCGCCCTTGATAAGTTTTTAAATAAGCTTCTTTTATTCACTCATTCATTGGTTCATTCATTCATTCATTCATTCATTCATTCAGCCAATCAATCAATCAATCAATCAATCAATCAATCAATCAATCTATATGGCCGCCCACTCACCAAAGTGAAAACTGATGTTTGTACTTTGGAGATTTTAAAGGAAACTAGCTGTTAAGAAGAAAAAACAGTTCTTCAAAATTATTTTAAAACTATAGGCCTACTATGCAGGATATTTTGCTTGACCTTTACATATGATGAATCAATATGAACATACCAGT